AGTGGAGGGTCAGAGAAAAAGAGGAAGACCCCCAGCCAGATGGATCAGCAAAGTGGCAGCATTGATGGGCTCAAGCATAGCAACAATTGTGAGGTTGGCCCAGGATCAGGCAGTGTTTCATTCTGTTGTGCATAGAGTTGCTATGAGTCGTAAAAGACTCTATGGCAACTAACAACAACAACTATATATATATATATCTTTTTTTTCCCCCCATATCTATCTATCTATATATTTAAGGTGCTCTGGTAGTGTAGTGGTTACGAGTTGGGCTACAACCTCAAGGTCAGCAGTTTGAAACACCAGCTGTTCCATGGGAGAAAGATGAGGCTTTCTGCTCCCATAAAGATTTACGGCCTCAGAAGTCCTATGCAGGGTCGCTATATGTCAGAACTGACTCTACAGCACACCACCACCACCACTACCATATATATACATATTCACCAGAATGACACAAAGTTGGTAAAGCTGTGGCACAACCAAAATTGTCATTTACTGTTTGTAGGAGGACAAATATTAGAAAATCACATGGCATTATCTACTAAAATCATAAGTCAAATAACCCAGAAATTCTAGGCCTTGGCATTCCCACAAAACAAATGTGCATATAAATGCACCAAAAGGCATAATAAGCAAGACTCTCCCTGGCAGTGTTATTCAAAAGAGTCAAAAACCTGAAATAAGCTAATGTTTATCAACAGTAGAATGCAAAAATTATGATATATTCATATTATACACTATATTCAAGGATGAAATGAATAAATACAACCTAGATAAATCTCACAATTTTAATGCTGAAGTTTTTAGAAGTCACAAAAACACACTGAATAATTTCAATTTCATGAAATTAAAAAGAAAATGGTCTAAATTAATATATGGTATTGGAAGTTTGGATAGTGATTAACTTTGAAGAAGGGGCAGTGAGTAGTAATTAGAACTGGGGTCAGGATTCTGGTGTGCTTGAAATGTTTTGTTTGCTGATGTTAGGTGGACCCATATATGTCCACTTCATGCTAAATAATCTAGTTATACTTAAACTATGTGCACTTTATTGAATAACAATATGTTGTTGTTCGTTATGTGCCGTGGAGTCGGTTCTGACTCATAGCGACCCTGTACAGGGTTTCCGAGGCTGTAAATCTTGACGGGAGCAGAGAGCCTCATCTTTCTCCTGTGGAACAGCTGGTAGTTTTGAACGGCTGACCTTGCACTTTGCAGCCTGATTGGTAACCACAATGCTACCAGAGCTCCTTGAATAACAATGTACTCCAATAAACTCCAATAAAAAATATTTAACAAAAAAGAACCAAAGCACTGAGTACATCACCAAAGACTCAAATACAGAAAGAAGAGCTGAGAAAATCTAGCTGAAAGCTAAAAGAGCCAAAGATTTTAATTATTGCAAGCTCAACACAAGGCAGTCAAAATAATAATTTTAAAAAGCATACTGTATTGACCAAATCAGCGTAGAGGGGTACACATGTTGGGCTGCTAACCAACGGTTAGCAGTTGAAATCTACCAGCTTTCTGGATGAAACTTTCTGGACTCCTGGTGTGGCACTGTATGATAAGCACTAAACTGCCATCCACAAGGTCAGTGGTTCCGCAGTTGAAACCCACCAACAATTCCTCACAAACCCTAAGCAGGGTTGCCATGACTCAGAATCAACTTGATAGCACTTATCAACAACAACAGATGGTGGGTGGAAAATTATGCTAACGATATACTGTATTTTAATCAAATCTGATCTGGAGCACAATATTCAATTCAAGGAGACACTGAAAAGCAAAGTATATTAAACTCATTAAAAATATTGGTTTGAGTTATTATTAGTCAATTTTTGCTTCATTACAAATGGATAACACATCACACATAATAGCTTACCTCATGTAAGTTATGTCACTTTCTAAGTCTAGATTTCTCTTTTTTAATTCTTCCAACTCTTTTTCTGATTCCAAAGCTCGAACTCCCATAACTTGATCAACAGTCATACCAGTTGTTTTTAGTTTCCTCTGCAAAGTCAGTTTCTCTTTATCAGCTCTGTATGATTCAATATGTAATCATGAAAAATACATAGATAATATACAGTATCTGTAGTATATTCACTATCAGAGCAATATATGACGATTGGATCATTCTATACCTTCTATGAGCAAGCTTATTCACAAGAACCTCCAATTATAACTGTTCAAGTATACTTAAAATACATTCTACAGAACATAAAAGTAGTGAATCATAAGGAAAAAATAAAAATAAAAATTAGAAACTTTGTCACATTATGAATCATGATAAAACTATACAACTTCAATGTCACTAAAACTTTACATATAAAGTTTTATTAGTTTTGTGATTAAACTTAAACTCACTTGGCAAAAAGATCCTTCAAAGTATTCAACTGCTTTGTTAGAGTACACACTTCACCTTCTTTCTCTTTTAATTTGTTGCGAATTCCTTCTACTTTGGTTTGCCATTTTTTACCTTCTTCCCACCTAATTAATTCCTCTCTAGCACTCTGTAAGAAATTACAAAGGAGAAAAAAAATGCCAATATTATTTTTATCACATTTTTAGATTTGTTTGTTGTTGTTGATGTTTTCATGTGCCGTGGAGTCGGTTCTGACTCATAGCGACCCTGTATACGGTTTCCGAGGCTGTAAATCTTCA